TTTTTTTTATTAAAGTGGAATTTAAGAAACATCTCACAAAAATATACAAAAAGAATATCTACAAATGGTATTTACACTGGTGAAATGTAAATTAAAATATGCAGCAACATTATTATTTTTTCTTTTAGTAGTTCATCTTAATACAAGGAGCAAAATGTTTTGCACTTTTTTTCATGTTCTCTTCTCTGATAGACATTCCATTTAAGCAATATATCTTATTACACAAAACATTAACTTACTGTTGGAAAAAAAAAAAAAAGTCACACCGTTCATATCCATGAAAATGCAACGATAATATATCATAGCAGCACACTAAAAAGTGACCCAAAGAATTGCAAACAGTGCATTGAAACATCAATTTACAGCTGTTCTCTTTTGTTTTCTGAGGATTTTGGTTCGGACAGATTGTCTTTCGATAAGCCATGCACACCCACGGACCACGAAACGAATCCTCAAACGCGTACGCGCACGTTAATATGTCATGAGGGGAACACTGCTGAGGGAGGTTTGAGGTCAACCAGTCGAACAACACAACCACGTAAATCATAAATGAACCACCAGGGCGACACAGTGACCAGGTCAGGTGTACAGTGCATAGTATGCTTTGGCATGCTGACATCCAGAACATAACAGTGGATGTTACATTCAGGAGGAAGGCCACAGGATTTGGAATTACCAGTAAAAATAGAACGAACAAATGACCACATGATCCAAAATAAAAAGTGAAACGATACAAAAAGAATCCCAACCTTCATAAACACTCAGATTAAGGCTAATCAGCTCTGTTTGCTACATGTTTTAAAAAATGGCATTGTCAGTAACACAACTTCAGAGGCCTGCCAACACTTGGCAAAACTGCCATTTGGGACATGTACACAGATAAGCTCATTTAAAAAAAAAAAGAATCCGTCACGGAAATGATATGCACAGATGTGTTGTTTTTTCTTCTTCTTAATGAATGTGTGACGTCATGAGAGCAGGGCCGTTTGCCCTCCACCTGTTTTCACAATCAGGAATGAGCCTTGCACACATGCATGCACCTAGTTTTGAGGCAGTAAGTCGAATCACCACTTTTAAGTCATTTACAAGCTGCCAGGTCCGTCGTCGTCCTCGTCGTCGTCTAAATGCATCTTTTGGGTGTGTCCGCCCTGCCAGGAGATGCCCGGACTCTCCGAGGCGGGACGGTGTGAGCGCGATCCTCAGTGCGGAGTGTGGACGCACCTCCACACAAAGAGGCTGCAGGGGGGAGAACACACAGGAAGGAAAAGGACGCATCACTTCACACTGAGTCGTCATGTCATTTGTGAACCGTGCTGTTATTTAAAGCCTCGGTCGTACCTTCTGTCGTCTCCGCCGGCGCTCACAACAAAGCGATCTCCGTTTGTGAAGCGGACATTTGTCAGATGAGCAGAATGGCCCAGAAAGCGTTTGTGTTTGGCCTGAAGTAGATCACAAGCACGTCAGTGAAGTTACTACTGTCAAAGGATTTGTCTGGTTGAAGCACAAACACATGTATTATAATAATACAACAATGTAGATCGCAGGCTGAACATGTTGTGATATCAAAATAAATGTTAAAAGATGTTTTTGGTGAAAATATGTGTAATCAGTGCACAGTCTGGAGCCCCCTCATGTCACTGTTTCCTCTATCCTCCATCCTCCTGCCTGTGACTTTAAAATCAATCCTAGCATGGCATCTTTAAGGATTTCTCAATTCCTAAAATGCATTTTAAGAAGTGAAGAGAGAGCAGTTCTTCACAGAGGGCTCGACAAACAGAGGGAAGGAAGTATGTACAGTTATATATCACTCTTTACTTGCATGGTATGTGTAGCAGTGTGTCACGCTCTGTTATACCTACATGATCATACATGTGTGTTAAATGTGTAGAGCGTCCCCACATTCTTGTCACAATCTGCCGTGTTGTGTTTTTAATTGTAAGTAAATAAGACGTACAGTGTACAGGAAGTTGTTTCTGTTCTGCTGATGTGACAGAAATCATCAAATAAATGATAGACTGGAAGAAAACAATCGACACATGATGTAGTTGTGTCGTATTTAAGCGATGTTGCTTTAAAACAGCAGCTTTGAAGAAAGGATCTGTACAGTATTTTAGTCACTGCTGCTAATTAGTTAAGGTGCAATATTTCATATATATATTCTGACAGTTCTTTTTATTCTGTTTATGTTTATGCTCCTTATATTTTTTGACAATACACTGTTATTTCTATACTGTTTGTATTCAGCTCTTTTCCTATTGCACTAGTTTTTCTTTATATATATATATGTATATATATTTATATTTATATGTTTACAGTATTTATCAACGAGTCACTGCCTCACAAGCTCCACTTCTGTGTCCTCCAGTAGCCAAGCAACGACATTTCGTTGCCAGATTCATGCTTGTGTTTTGGTGCAATGACAATCAAGACAGTCTGAGGATGTTTTATTTTGTTAAGTGCCTCCTCTCTCCTCGTGTCTTGTCCTCACCGCCTCCACTTGCATCTTTGGTGGGAGGAAGTAAAAGGATGTAAAAACTGAGAAATGAGAAGAGGGGACGGTGTTGCTGTGTTGTTTCTTGATGCTACCACTGGGGGGCATCAAACACACAAAGTGGCTTTAAGATCAGCCAAGTGAGGCAGAGACGCTTATGTCACAGTACAATAGACGTCAGAGAAACAGCAATAGCGCTGATATTACTGTACTAACGGATCAAACATTGGTAATAAAAGGTAATAGTATACAGTGATACTTACAAACTTCTCTGGACAGGGAAAGTCAAACAGCTTTACCATCCCAAAGTCATCGCCTGTGACGATGTTAAGGCCCGAGTGGGACACGCAGGCACAGGTGACGTCTGCTTTGTCGGTGTTACGGGACCAGATCCCCACGACCTCGTCCCCAAGGACACTGAAAAGACGACAACGACAGTTAGTGTCCAGCACACTGTGAGCATGGACACAACAGACCAAAGAACAGTTTCTACCCAGAAGCTGTCGTTGTTCTGAACGCCGCAAATTCCCAAAAATCATTCTTCAGTGTGAAGTAGAAAAATCTCTGTTCATACACCAGGTGCAATCATTTCTTGAACGCAATATCCCGGTTGTTCTTTATTTTTTATTATCTGTTCATATTTTTTATTCTATATTCTATTTTTTTGTGAACTGTACAGTCGTTTTCAAATGTTTAAACTATGCCTTGTGCACTTTCTGTCCTGTTGTTTTTGCACTGCCTACGAGAGCTGCTAACTCAGAGTTTTTTGTGCTTTCTTGTACGATGACAATAAAGAGATTCTGAAGTACAAATGTTCTTTTGACTTATAGTATTTTTACGGTATTTAAATTTTTCTAAAATCCAACAACATTATTTTCAAGTAGTTTTTCAACACCACTTTTTTCTGGCACCCTTGCTGCCACAGTTTATTTATTTTTCTTTTCACAGTGTACCGCTCACCTTGTCCAGGTGGCCCAGGTAATCCTGTCGATGTGAGTCTGTTCTGTGACCTGCTTCCCAGACGGCACCTCGTACACCAGCCGTTTGTAAGCACCTGTGGAAATCTGTTTCAAGACATTGCAGGTTAATGAGTGCCGGTGATGTGATTCCCCTCCCCCCTTCCCTGGTAAAACCTAACAGAGTTCCTACCTGGACGTAAGTGCTGTCTGCAGAGAAGTCCATCTGCATCACGAAGCTGGGGATGTCCCTGCAGCAGTTGATGCGGTTCAGCTGTGGGCCGAGCGTCAGGTCGTAGAAGTCGACGGCGCACTCAGTGGAGCCCACGGCC